GTGGTCCCCAAGTAGGATAGCTACATTTTGGTTTTTTTAAGATAGCTACTCTTGCTTCCTTTAGGGTTCCTATTGCATAGAGTATCATTCTCTATTCTTTCATTGTCAATCTGTGTGTTTTTTGTGGATGAAGTTATCTCTTTCCGTCAACATACAATTGAGTTTTGAGTATTACTGTTGAAAAATATTTACTGAATCCTCTCACTGAATTATTTTTCCTTCACTGATTCTTTTAACTACTCTTCCAGTTAGATGTATTTTTTCATTTGAGCTATATTGGCCTCACTGTCTCTATCTTGGATTTCCTTGAATACTTTCCACAGTGCTAGTTTGTTGTTCATGAATTTTTTAGATTTGGTTTTTTTTTTTTATTGAGTTTATTGGTACAATCTAGGTATACAATACAGTTACATTCATCATTGGGATTCTGTACCTTTACATAATAGGTCTTGATTCTCATTTTTTCCCCTTGTCCCTGCCCTCCTTTCACCCCCTCCTCCCTTCCCCATTTACAAACACTTTATTTCCATTTTTTCAGTTTCTCATATTTTTTTCCTCTCCCTTATTACCTTTCCCCCACCCTTCCCACTTTCTGTACACCTTTAGCCCTTTACTTCCTAGTTCACATTATTAATTATCTCATTAGGATCCTGTGTACTATTATAGTTTTCACACCAAAGAAACTATTTGGTATTTCAGTTAAAGAAATCTCTGTATGAACATTAAAAATAGGGAATCCTAAAATAAAACTAAAAAGAAAAGTAAAAGAGAAAAGGCAGTGATGTAACATTAAAATAATCCTTAATTCTGGAGATGAAAATGGTCCTTAAACATATTTAAATTGCTTCTTGTGCTTATAGTCTTATCTTATTCTTTTTTTCATTATTTAGAGAATACTTTATTAGTTTCTGTAATGAAACCCATGTAGATATGACCTTACATAAATTAAAAGGAGTAGGTGAAAAAAAGAGTCAACAAAAGGCCAATAACATGTCAATAATAAGTCAGTACATATCAGTTATAACCAGCAATGTCAATGGCCTCAACTCACCAATCAAGAGAAATAGACTGGCAAAATGGAATAAGAAGCAAAATCCAACAATATGTTGTATACAAGAAACACACCTAGTGCAAAAAGAAGCCCATAGACTGAAAGTGAAAAGATAGAAAACAATTCTTATTGTGACAGGAGCCCAGAAAAAAACAGGGGTAGCAGTCTTATTTGCAAAGTAAATTTCAAACCAAAACTGATTCTAGTATTATTGATGTAGGATGGTACTGTATCATACCTCTATGAATGTAAAATATCTTGTACCTGCTTTATGATACATAGTAGGGACCATGCTTTATCAGAGCTACATTTAATGATATTTACTCTAGAATGTTCTCTTTCCAGATGATGATTAAGATGGTAATAAAAAAAATGGTGCCACGTACCACAACAGCAACAGAACTTTGCTGTTTGCTGGATATTATTCTTTTGTTTTTGTTTTGTTTTGTTTAATGGAATGTGCTGAATGTCTATAATTTTGTTCAGATGACTGCAGAACCTGGAAAAGCTGTTGCTGCTATCGATGCATAACATACTGCTATTATTAGTCTTTTTATATAAATATAAATATATATATACATATATATATATGTATATATATAAATTGAATTTTGGGAAACTTTAACGGTGCTGTCAACTTTGGAAAAAGTTATCCCAATTTACTGTGTTGAGTTTGTATTGTACAGAAATGGACAGCCATATTGGTCTAGAAATGTTAATTTTTTTATTTTTATTTTTTATTTTTTCCCAAGTGTATAGATTTGTTTTTGTCATGGAAAGTATTTATCCACAGTTTTGAAGAATAATTTTGCAGGATATAGTAATTTTACCTGGCAGTTTCTTTCTTTTATGGCTTGAAAATCTTTGTTCCAAAATCTCCTGGCCTTTAAAAGCTTTGTGTTGAGAAATGTGCTGTTAGTCTGATGGGCTTGCATTCATAGTTTACTTGATCTTTTTCTGTAACAGCTGTTAGTATTTTTTTTTTTTTTTTGCCCTGAATTTCTGGGTTGTTGACTGTGATGCAGCTTGTAGATCATGGCTGTGTAGGATTCTATATGGCTCTCTACCTGGATAGTGAGTTCTTTCCCTAGGTTTGGAACGTTTTCTGCTATGATTTTGGTGATTAAATTTTTATACCTATACTGTCATTTGCTAATCTTTCCTTAACTCCATTTTTTTCAGTCATCTGGTGGCTGTTAGAGCCAGCTTTCATGTTGTCTTGTTTTTACTGAATACGTGATATACCTCATCAATCTTTCTTTATAGTCCTGAGTGTCCTCAGATTGGTTAATCTTCCTCCCCATACTTTCAATTGACTTTTTCATATCCAGAATTTCTGTTTGATTCCTTTTTGCAAGCAATAATTCTTTACTAAAGTGGACATTCATGTCTTACGTTGTCTGTAATTTAGTCAACTTTTTGTTTATGGCTTTTAAAAGTGTGTTGAATATTTATTAAATCATTTATGTGTTTATTTGCATCCTCTTTGAGCTCTTTGACCATCTTATGCATTTGCTTATTTCTTCTTTGATCTTTACAGGCATTTTAATCATTTTGTTTTTTAATTCTTTGCCCCAACCTTCCTCTACTCCAATACCCATAAGATTATCTTTTAGGGAGCTGAGAGTATTTGGAGGTATATTATTACCTGTTTTCCTATGTACCCATGTTATTTTACTGAGAGATGAAGATGAGTTAAGGAGGAAGACTCTTTCGCTACTGTAGAGATCTTTAGTGTATGTCTCCCTGTCATGTGACTTTGTTTTTAGTTATGTTTTAGTGTTCCTACACCTATTTAACCCATTCGGCATAAAATAGAATCAGTCCCTGTGACTGCATTGCAAGGAGAGAACAACTACTAGTTACATCAGCATCTACAGAACCAATCATATATGAATCATATATGTTTTTTTATTTTAGTAACCCTAGTCAGACAATGAAAAAGTGTTGATGATGATTAGGCATGCTGTAGAGGACAATAGGAAAGGTAGAAAAGGAAGAAAGTAATTGAGAAAGAAGGGAAGCACAGAAAAAGACAACAGAAAAAGAAAGAAAAGAGATAGGATATTGGTAATTTTTATATCTGGAATGGAGGCAGGGGAAGAGGGAAGATGGAAAGGTTATTTGCTGGGGCAGGAAAAAAAAGAAGAAAGAAAGTGTATTTGGGGATGGAGTGAAGTTGAAAGAAAGTTGGAACCAATTAAATATGCTGATAAAAAGCTTGTGTTTAATTCCTCATTGCACAACTTTGTGAAGGTTAACCTGACATGAAAGATGCTGTATAAACTAAAGCAATAATTAATTCTTATTCTCCACTTCACAAATATAAACAGCACACACACACCATTTGAAAGGAAAAATCTACACACATACACAGAGAATACTCTCAGTCTTATTTATACTACAGTAGAAATTGAACCAGTGTGCTCCTAAAGCTTACATAAAAAATAGAGACCTTGTCTTGTAGCATTTGCTGGAGACTGAGCTCCAGTCCTCTGCTTTGGGTGTGTCAACTAGCGTTTGAGTGGTTCTCCTTCAATTATTTATTCCCTTGCCTACGGGTGAGTGAAGAGATGGGGAGGTCTAGATGGACACTTTGGACTATTTTTCATTCTCTTAGACAGAACTCTGCTAGGTTTCAGCTCTACTCCTTGTGAGCAGCCGGGGGCTGGGGGTGGGGTTTGCCTGTCTTATTATCAGACTCCTTCAGTTGTATTGGAAGTGCAAAGGGCATGGTGAGACTGGTCAAACACTCAGTCTTTCACTGACCACTGGAAGGACATCCTTGGTCTCTGTCCCCTACCCTTCTACCCTCTATGATAATCCTTTAAACTGCTTTTGTCTGTTCTTATTATGCCCATCTGGTGAGTGTGCACCAACACACAACACCTTCTGACCATGCCACTCCTCTCCATCTTTCTGTCTGCCTACACCATACTTTGTTCACAACTCAATCTTTATCCAGCCTAAAAAAAATCAGTGGCATTTAGGGCTCAGGGAGGGCCTTCCTGCTTGGAATTCAGTAGCATTTGGGGAACCATGAGAGGGAGCTCACAGCGGCACAGATCTCAGTAGCTTTTGGTAAATGATGGAAGGGATCCCACATGGGGCCCCAACAAGTTCTGAAGTTTTTGGAGGGAGGGAGATGGGTATCATATTGTGTGGCTCAGAGGTCAACAGCTTTTGAGGGGTAGGAGGGAGAGTGCCTACTCTAGCACAGCTACTGCATGCCCTGTGACTCACTGTCCCATAGATCTCTCAGTGCCTAGTTCTGGGTCTCTGTTTCTTTGTGTCCCTAGGGTTCACCATCCAATGCCATCACTGCACTCTGAATAATTCTCTGGCTTGTGCTTTTCTTAGTGCCCTAGTCTGAGGAGGTCCTCTCTTCAGGATATCTCTCAGTGGGCTCTGTTTCTCAGTGGAAAGAAAGGAAGGTAGGGCAATTGGGTACTGGGCCGTGGCAGTCATTTGCAGCAGCCTGGTAGCTGCTGCTGTATTTGGTTTCTTTACTCGAGCGGTTAGATCTTTTCCCAATGTGATATTTGCTAGACCTGGACTATAAGCAGTGCTGGAATCAAGAAGGGGCCTTGCTGCTTTTTCTAAACACCTCTGATACTGGTTCATCTGATGGGCGGTGGCTTCAAGTTGTCTTTCTATGTGTGGTGCCCAACCCCTGCCTCTGTTTTCTGAGTACCCACGGATCTTGGTTAGCATCGTCTTTCAAATGTCTTGTAAGCACTGCTACCTGTAGCCTGACATGATGCCTCTATTATACTGTCTTGTTCAACTTAAAACCCATTCTCCACTTTCTGTCAAGAACTGTGTTCATAATAGTTGGTCACTGCTTGGAAAAATGGATCATTTTGCTAATTTTGGAATTTTCTGAAAAATAAGCTTATTTATATCAATACTTTCTAAATATGTTTCTTTTTTGTTATATATTATGTAGGTCGACTTGCATGGCTGGTATACTTAGTTGGGACAGTTGTAGGAGGAAGATTAACATATACCAGTACGGATGAACATGATGTTATGGATGGAGAATTATCCTGTCGGTAAGTAGCAAACATGTAATTTACAGAAATTTATGTCGTTATAAATAAATTTAGTTGTTAAATTAGTATTACAAGCTAAAGTATTTTGTATGTGACCTTTTGGGAAAGGTATTATTTTTCTTTTTCATTTGATAAGTTATTTTTCCTTGTATTGATGAGAAAAACCAAGGCTTAGAGTTTAAGTTATTTTAGAAGTTTAATCTCCAGCGATAGGCTAAAATATGTTTTAAATATTTGTGCAAATGATGTGCTGAAGATTTAGTTTGCTTTATATTGCTTAGTCTGATTTGGTTGTATTGGAATAGTGGTAAAATTGGGCTGATAGACATCAAAAGTAATAGGTAGTAGGTTAATTAGTAAAAACCTTCATTATGATTTTTCACATAATGACCATAGCCTTTCATAAGAAGCAATTGAATTATTCTCTGTATGCTTGTGTTCTAAACTCAAGAAAATCTCTATATACAAATAAAACAATTGAGTTGATCTTCTGTATTTTATTTTTAATGACATTGTTCCTTATTACAGAGTTGTGAATGTTTTTATTGAAGACTTCAAAATTCAAATGAAAATAAACAATTATTTTAATTTGATGATTACTACTGTTTTGGTATACTCTGAATCTTCAATGTATGTGGCTTTATGTACACAAAATGATTGTTTATAAACTTATTAAAACAAAAATTATGATTATGTTGTTTTGTAAACTAAAATGGAGGTAATACCTGACTCATTTGGGCTATTACAAGAATCATATGAGTTAATAGGTTTTTTAAAAAAATTCTTAGAACAATGCTTGGCAAATAGTAAACACATACCTTTTTTTTTTAAATCGAACATAGTACAGTATTATGGACATTTTGCCTAAACATGAAATATTCCAAGTTGTACTATAAATTAACTATATCCTTGGTTTTGGAATTTTAGGTTCTGTTTTTCCTTATTATAAATTGCCATCAAGTGGATATTCTTTTAGCTATATTTATTTAAATTTAAAACATTTATTAGAGTTCATTCTACAAGCTCTTTGTCTGGTCATGTGTATGTAGCATTTTATTTTATTTTTATTCATTTATTTTTTTTTTGGTACCAGGGATTGTACTTGGGACTTTGCACTTGTGAGGCAGTCTGTGGCACCACTTGTATGTAGAATTTTAAAGGTGTAAAGTTCATATTACCATATGTATTACCATATGACCTTTTGGAAGAGTTCTACCTATTGAGCATTTATAATCTGAAAACCCCAGATCCAAAATGCTTCCAAATCTGAAACTTTGAGTTCCAAGATGACAGAAAGTTTTTGATTTTTTGAAGCCTTTTGATTTTGTATTTTCGGGTTAGAAAAGTCTGTCTGCCCCCCACAAAAGAGTCTATACCCCAAATCCAAAAACTCCCTGAAATCTGAAATTGTTCTTTTTGTTTTTAAGCATTTCAGATAAGGGATACTCAAGCAGTATCTATTTATCCTCCAAACCCAAAGACTGTGAGAGTTGTTTCTTCAGCAGTTGACTACTAGATAGTAGGGTGTGTGTGTGTGTGTGTGTGTGTGTGTGTGTATATACACACACACACACACACACACAGTTGCAAGTTTTAATTAACAAATGTCATTTCATTTCATAATTCTTCATTTCTAGTGGTGTGAAGCAGTCTTTTCCACTCCTATTTTTAACATTTATGATTTTTCTTCATGTGATTTTTATATCTATTGATTATGTCATTTGATTTTTTTCTGTTATTCTGTAATTTATAGTAATAGCTCAGTATATATTGAAGATCTTATATTTTGCTATTTAAAGTGTTAATTAACATGTTCTAGTGATTTGAAATACCACTTAAACCTTACACAAAATTCTAAAGTCTCTTTCCAAGTCTTGCATACCTTTCCATTAATCTAGAAGTAGGTTGTTGCGCCACTGTCACCCTAATAATTTCTTAAAATTAGTATCTGTAGCTGTAGTATTCTCTCTCATTGTTATTTAGAAATATATTCTTAAGTGTTTCATAAACTTACTGTAATTCTGAATAGAAATTTTATTTTCACTTTATACCCTTTCCAGTCTTTAAAATGTATTTTAATAAAATTTGAACCTGAATGCACATAGTTTTAGTTTTTTGAAGCTTTGTTTCCTATATCAATTAAATTTTTTAAAGATATGAATAGTAGGTACTTGGCAGTCTTTTAAATTTTAATCAAGTAAAAAATATGCCTTTATGTCATCTTTTAAGATAACATTAAATATTCAGCAAAATGAAAATTAAGTATTCTTTTCATTTTTTAAAAACTCATTGAATAGGACTGTATAGTGGTACTTCTTCCTGAGAAAAATGTAAGGAATAAAATCAGGTATATATTTACCAATTATAAAAATTAAATCATTTTTTCTATCCTCTCCTATCCCTGACTCTTTCCATGTGTCTAGTCGTGGTTCACTCAATTGCCCAAGCCTGGATCATAAAAGTTGTCCTTCATTTTTTTTTGCTTTTTTCTTTCTCCAGCATCCATATATGCATCAAATCCCATTAGATCTGCCTTGAACTTATCTCACTTATTTTTGTTTCCTCTGCCAGTTTAGTTTCTGTCATCTTTTACCTGGACTAGGGATTCAGCTTGTAAATGAACACCTTGCTTCCTCTTTGTAGCCAGAGTAATCTTTCTCAAGTACAGATTTGATTATGCCATTGCTTTGCTTTTCTCTGAAAAAACATTCCATTGGTTCTTATGGTTTTTCTATGGATTAAAATCAAAATGGCTTATCAGGCTCTTTATGATCTGACTTCTGCCTTTCTCAATAGCCTTATCTCCTGTCACTGCTTGAGAGCTATAGTAAATATTTTTGAGTTCATAAATGAGCCAGCTTTATCTTCTTTGTCTAAATGGAGCCACATGCTGCTGCTTCTTGACACTGTCTTCATATTAGTCACTTTACCATTTCTGTGACAAAATACCTGACACTTGAAACTTAAGGAAAGTTTTTATTGTTTTTGTCTCAAGTCTCACATGATTCTCTAAAGTATAAACAGCATTGCAGAAGGGGATGGCGAAGGAAAGCTGCTTGCTTGATCGAAGGCAGCCAAGAAGCTTAGAAAGGGAAAAGAAGAGCAGGGAACAAGGATACACTCTTCCGGGTCACACCCCTAGTGACCTGCCACCTCATCTCCGAACATGAGACTCTTGGGAAGTATTTTAGATCTGAACTATAACCTTTCACCCTAGCCCCCAAAAGACTCATGTCCATCTCATTATTCAAAATTGTATTTACTCCATCTAACAGTCACCATAGTCTTAATAGTTCCAGCCTTGCTAAAAAGACCGAGTCCAAACTCCTTTCTGAGACCTGAGACAAACTCTTAGCTGCGAGCCCCTTCAAAAACAGTGCACTGGGCATATATTCTCTCTTCAAAAGGGAGGAAGAGGGGATGGGAAGGAATGGGACCAAAGCAAGATGAAGTCCCGTGGGGCAAACATTAAATCTTACAGCTCGTGCACAAAACTCAGTCAAGGCGGGTTGTAGTGTGATGTGAACTCCAGAGGGCTTAAGTAATACCATCCCTATGACCTACCTTGCCTGTTGCCTCCCTCATGTTGAGTAGGCTTTGCTTGCTGCCTACACTTTCCTTCAGCAAGCATTCCACATTACTGGCATCTCTAACTTTATGGCATCTCCACTCCACCTTTTTCATCACTCTCACAGCTTTACACATTGCTGTCCCAGGGGCATATTGCCTCATCTTTCAGGCAATCCTTTGAAATGTGGGTCAAAACCTCCCAGACCCTCCAACTTGAACATTGTAAGTGCCTGACAAAACAGTAAGTAACATGGCTGCAATAGCATGACCTCCTTTGACCATCTCTTCAGAGGCCTCTCAGTGCTTGGATAGCTGTACTTAGGAAAACAGGTCCCTAGATGATCCTGAATAAGCAGTGTATCCTGGGACTCTCTTCTGAAAGCAGAGTTTTTCTAATGAGTTTATTTATCCTTTTATGCCTTTGAGACTGAAGTGAGTGGCATCTGGCCAGTTCCTGAGATGCCTTCAAGTCATCTATCCTATTGCCCTGATACAAACTCATTGACTTCTTTTTAATGCTAATCTTTTCAGCAACCATGCTCTCTTTGACCCCACCTTTGCAGGTATTTCGTTTCTAAAGAAACCATAAACATTTCAAATCATTCAGCTCTGTTTTTTTCTTTTCTTTTCCCTTTTCTTTTTCTTTTTTTCTTCTGATTCTCACTATGGAGCTGACTAAAAGCAGCCAGCAGAACAAAAGGCACAGTATGTCATATTGGGCTGCCTTGAATTTTTCATCACCAAATTAATTAGTCTGCCACCTTTTTTGATTTAGTTTTTGTTGTATGTTTAGTTTTTGTTTCTTCCCTTTTTATTAGTATATGTTTAGAATGATAATATATTAATTGTGGGAAATGGATAAATATATATGTATTGCATCTTGATCCTTTTTACTTTCCCTTTCCTTCCCTCTCTTTAAATTCAGCCTCAATAAAATCTTAGGACATGGACAAAATATAGATGTATTCTTTGTCAGAAATGAAACCTGCCCTGGGTTTTGTACATGGAGCTACAAGATTTAATGTTTGCCCTGGCCTGTAGTCCAATTTCCAATACAGTCTTCATTCCCACCTGAAACCTCAAGATCCTGGTCTTTGCTCTTGGCATTCTGGCCTTCTAAGCTCCAACCAGAATCAGTGATTAAGCTCTGCTTTCAGCATTCTGGGCTTTTTATAGCTGCCATTGCCAGACCTTCCCAAACTCCTCCCACAAACTAGATCCCAAGGCTTCTAAACTACATGCTCTGGTACAAGGAATAGCCCTACTTCCACTACCAGTTTTCTGTATTAGTCACTTTTCTGTCACTGGGACAAAATACACATCTGCAACTTAAAGGAAAGAAAGTTTATTTTAATTCACATTTTGCAGTGCTTTAGGAAATAATACTGGAGATCAAATATGAAAAATATTATGTCTCCCAACCTGTTAACTGTATAATACACTGAGTTCTTGTTCTCTAGAAATAAAGAATGAGTCCTAGGAACGATGGAGGTTAAGAGTAGGAAGATATTTTTTGATAGGAAAGCTCCTGAGGGGCAAGAGGGGACCCAAGTGGGTAGCCCAGAAACCCCACTTCACAGAGTTTTATAGGATGATACCCACATGGGTATATAATCCATGATCCTCCAATAAGGTTACAAGTACAGTCACTCAGATAATAGTGGTCCAATTAGGAAACAAGTCACATAACAAGTATAGATGGAAAGAACAAAGATCCTCCTAGGAAGTGGTTGGTCCAGAGGTCTGGTCACCCACCATGTGGTTGATGTCTGTTTAGATTTCATTTAGGCCCAGTGTTTGTTCTTTGAGGAAATGTATAGGTCTGTGTCATCTTGTCTTTATCTTAAGGCCTGCTTTCCAACCAATATGTCCCTGGTGCCACTGTAATATGTTTTACCTTTGTCCTAACCCTCTCGAAAACCTAGCCCTATCTGACTGCCTGTAATATTTCTACCTAGCTCATCTATCTGTAATAAGAGATTAGTGCTTGGTTGGTTGGTTCCAGTGCAGACACAGCGTGGCAGAGGGGCATGGTAGAAGAAAGCTGCTCAATCACTGGCAGCCAGGAAGCTGAAAAAAAAAAAGGGAGGCGCCAGGGACAAGAATACACCCTTTCAAGTCTCATTCTTGTGTGACCTTCCCCCTCTGACAAGGCCCCACCTATGAACCTTAGACTTTTAGGGGATTATTAGATTTAAACAAGTCTCTTTGCCTTGTTTCAGTCCAGGATATTAGTAATTCTATTTCCTGTATGACATTTAGTATAGAACTTGTAATTCTTCAATCTAATTACCTTTTTAAATTTTCTTTCCATTGATAGATTATAGATTTCTAGAGAATTGAGTGTGTGTGTGTGTGTGTGTGTGTGTGTGTGTGTGTATGTATGTATGTCTTGCTTACACATATGTCTTGCTTCCTGTTGCATTAAGAACACCTAATGTACATTTGGCATATAGGAGGCCCTCAAATATTTGTTGACTTAATGGATATTTATTAAATTTAAAAGACAAATAATGATTTGATATCCATATCTTTTTATTTGAGATGATGTGCTTGTACTTGGATCAAAATTAATGATTTGTCTTTTTATTCCTTCCATGCTTTTTACCAAGAAATGATTTAATATAAAGGAAAAATAGTGGTAGGCAATAAATTGTAACTAGGAATATTATGTGGGATGTGTGTGTGTGTGTGTGTGTGTGTGAACTGCACTGGTCGTAAGCAGTTGTTAGAGGTGGGTACAAATCTTTGGAGGACTGTGTGACAGAGACTGCTAGTTGTCCACCCTTAGCATTTCTTCCCCTCTATTGTAATACAGTACCTGATTGTCTTGCTGGGCAAATGCCTACAATTAATAAAGGTTATATTTACTAGACTGTCTTGCAGCTGGGTATGATTATATGATTATGTTCTGTGACACTGGATATAAGGGAATGTGATATATACACTATATGTAGAATGAATGAGACCTGAAGAAGCCATCTTAGACCACAAAGTGACTATGCAGACAAGTCTTAACAAGATACAGTGAACCTGAACCTTTGATACACCATGGAGTACCAACAAGCCCTGGAGCACTGACTAGGATTTTTGCTTGAGAGGAAATAAACACCTGTATCGCTTAAGCAGTTGTTATTTTGGATTTCAGGCACTTGCAACTGAACCGGTACAACTATCAAAACTTCTTTGACAGATGGATCTTATTATACCCTGCTGGGAATTCTTTCCTACTCTCCTGCTGGGATATCATTGCTTCTTAGGCGAATGTAAATCTCCAGCTTAATATGAGTTGTAAAAGCGCCCCAACAAACTGTTTTGATTTTACATCTTCATTGGATTTGGGAATGTGTGCTCTAAAAAGGAAATAAAAATAAAAGAAAGTTCATAGAATCAACAAAGAACTTGAGCAGGAGAAGGGAGAACCTACTCAATAAAGAATTTAAAAGCAAGATATAGCTTCTTTAAGTCACTTGACAAATCACCTGGATCCAGAGATGAAGTCTGATGTATGTATCTACTTAATTTAAAATTACACCAACAATCTGCTAATTGACTAATACACAAACTTTAAAAGTTAGTTTTGTTCCTCCTCCCAAAATTAAATGATAAAAACATTCCTAGAAAAATAAACCAAACCTTGTTACAGTAATTTAATCCTTAAGTCTGAATCTTCAGCAAGTTCTCTTTCATAAACCTTATGGGTACAGAAGATACTTAGTAAGTGCAGGGCACTTAACAAAGTATTTTAATGTAAATAGCAAATAGTATAAAATGGTTGTCAAAATATGTGTTAACCGACAATATGTACCTTTTTTTAAAAAAATGCTTATGCTGCGACAGATTTTGTTTCTAGATGAATTCATGGTTACGGGAGATAATAGTTTTCATTTAGAATTAAAAATTTATATTCAAAAATGAAATCATTAAATTTGACATAGCTTTACTATACAGCCATAAAAATAATATGAAAAAGTAAAATTGGCCAAGATAAATGGAAGATAAGTAAATCTAGTAAGTAATTTGAATGCTTAAGTGAATCTAGTATATGTGAGAAGTTATTTAAATGGTAAATGAAGATAGACTATACAACAAAGAAATGATACTGGAGCAACTAGATAGCCATCTGAAAAAAATTGGATTTTTGCCTCACATTGTGTATTAAAATAAATCCAAATGTATTGTAGAGTTAGATTTTTTAAAAAATGAAATAAAAACCAGGGTTGGTGACACACCTGTAACTCAGCAAAGCTCTCTAGGAGGATTTGAAGTTTAAGCCTAGCCTGAGTGATTTAGCAAGACTTTGTCTCAAAATAAAAATTTTTTTAAAAAAGGGCTGGGGATGTGGCTCAGTGAGAAGGCCTGGGACTCATTCCCCAATACTGCCAAAAAACAGAGGAATCCAAAATAAAATAAAATAAAATAAAAACCTTCAGATTGAGATGAGATCTTACTACTATGGAAAAACCATAAAAGAACAAAAAAATAAAAATTTTGCACATAAAACAACAAAAACTTCTGCATGGAATTTTTTTAAAAGACCATAATCAAAATTAAGAAACAAAAAATATTTAAAAGGTCAAATATAGTCAGAGAGTTAAATTCTCTTACGTATAAAGGACTGGAGAAATCAGTACTAAAAGGACAATCCTTTAGAAAAAAGTTAGTGAAAGATGAATAAACAGGTCACAAAAGAGGACATACAGATGGGTTAAAACAGAAAATTTGACCTTTACATACAACAGAGAAACAAATTATCCTACAGAGAGATGCCATCCCATTTTTCAGATTTCTGGAACTCCTAAAATTTCATATTATTGAGGATGACTTTGTGTGTATAAACAGGCATTATTGTGGACTGATAGTAGGGATATATTATTTTAATTTCTATGATAGGCAATTTTTAAATAGCTGTTAAAATTGTAAAAATATATACTATGAGCTACTAGGCTGACATTTAGAAATGCATATTATAAAAGTACATGTATGAAATAACATACGAGATTGTCAATTGTAGTATGTTTGTGACAAAAAAACTATATTTTAGTGTCAAGCAAATATTTGGAAATAAATGATAAACTCATAATGGAATATTAGTTGCAAAACAGAGTGAGGAAGCTCTATGTCTGACATGGAAAGATTTCTTAAGATATATTGTAAAGTGGAAAAAACTAGGCTTTGAGCCATATGAAATATATATACATCATGTGTACATTAAAAGGGTTTGGAGAATATGTAGCCTTATATAGCTGTATTAAAAGAATATATTTTATAAGACTTATAGTTTTTCATCTTGTATCTTTAGCTATCTTTGGCTGTCTTTAATGATAAACTATTAATGATGTTTATATATTTTCAAGTAGGCATCCCTACAAGGACTGAAGTAGGTCAGGGCTGGCTAGGCACAGATGATTTTGTGCAAATTAAAAAGGAAGCTTTCTTCTTTAACAACCTATATTTCGGTATCTTAAAAAATCAGTATAATATTTTGACTTTGTTTGCGCAAAGCACTTGGAAGCTACCCACCAGAAAATTTTAATGAAAATGTTAAAGGATTTCTTTTTAGAAATTAAAGACTGAGATTTTTGTTATATATTAAGGCCTTTTCTGTATGAAATTTTACTTATCCTTCATATCATTATGATTTTCTAATAATAACTTCATGAAACAATAAATAGAAAAATTGTGATTTTATGATAACTATACTTAATAGTGTAGTGTTGGAGTGTTTGGTTTTTATTAAGATTACTTGTTTTTTAGGTAAAAATTTATGACTCATTAAAAGATTAATGTAACATAATGGGTATAGTTCATGATTTTCTTTTGAATTCTGAGTTATTTATCCTACAATATTTAATTATTTAGAAGTGTAAAGTTAATGATATTCTTTTACTAAAACTACATACATATATTTACATACATTATTCTATATTTAAATTATATGCCATTTGCCTATATGTTTAAATTTTTAGTAAAATATATGTATGTTTGCATACAGGGTTGTATTCATATATGCATATGTGTCTGTTTAAAAAAAAAAAAAAGAATAGAAGGAATTAGACCAAATTGTAGTATCTTTCAGAGGTAGGATTTCAGATGATTTGAAAACATTTTAAAATTTTCTGTGTTTTTGTTTTCCCACTTTTTACTGTAATTATATATTTATGGTAGATGTTTTAATTTTGTTTCGCTAAGAATTTTTACTGAAGCATTTTTTTTCCCCTTCATGAAAAGAGTTTTTCAGCTTATATCTTTAATGGATACTGGATTGCCTCAATGTTCTAATGAGAAAATAGAGCTTGCAGTTCTGTGGTTCTTGGATCAGTTTCGTAAAACATATGTTGGTGATCAGCTTCAGAGAACCTCAAAGGTAGGTTTTTACTACAAGAGATTTTTTAAAAATGTTATTAGAGATGAAGAAAGATGTATACATGTACTAGCTGTGAGCTGAATAATTATCTCTACAAAAGAAATTTAATTGATTAATTTAATTGATAATTTGGTGTTAAAAGACAATGTGAAATTATCTGCTTATTTTATTCCTACTTTACCATTTTCTTGAAAATTGATTGGAAGAGAAGTAGCAAATAGTTTTTACTTGGATAGCCATTAACTAGTTAAAAATGAACTCTTTAATGGATTTTGCCTTTTATATTTCTAGATTGGAAACAAGATTTGTTCTTTTAGTAACTTTGAAAGGTTTTTTGGACACTTATTTATGTGATTTTTCAGTATATTTCACTCATTCCTTGGCATTTTTATATGATAAAGAAAGGATAGGACAATTTGGATGTTTATTTGTCATGCTGCAGTCACATAGGGAAAACTTATAATACGATAATTGAAAGTTTAACATCAGGAAATTTAGATGAGTTGATCTTGGGGCAGATGAGAAATCATTGAGGATATTTATATGAACCTTAACTAAATACTTAGTTGTATACTGAGCCTCTGTTTTCATGAGTTCCACATCTGTGGATTTAATCAAGTATAGATTGAAAGTATTTGAACATCAAATTTCATTTGTACCAAACTTGTCATTCCCTAAATAGTGCAGTCTAGTAACTACTTATATAGCACTTACAGTGTATTAAGTATTACAGGTAGTTGAGATGATTTAATGTATGTGAGGGAATGTGTGTAGGCTGTACGCAAATACTGCACTATTTTATTTAAGACAGTTAAACATCTAAGGATTTTGGTAATAGATGTTGAGAAATGAATATATCGCCCTAAGATCGGTGAGACTTTGTTGCTCTCTTCTTTCTAGACTAGTAACTGTTTCTAAAACTTCTAAAAGAAGTTTAAAGCATATTCTTAATCTCATTTAGATTTGTCTTAATGATGTTAAAGGATTTCTTATTGGAAAATCCTAAAATAAATATTTTATACTCATTTGAGCTTTCTTAATCCTCAGAAATTTAGTTTAAACTTCAGTTTACTTAAAATCTCATGATGTATAAAAACTTGAAAAAATACTTGGTTTTAAGATTATCCTTTAGTTTATTTCAGGTAAAATTTCCTATGCTATATAATGAAGTAATATAGCTTGATATTACCATTGTCAAGTACACTGATATTTTATTGCCATTTAGGATTAATATCAATAAACTCCTAGAGTTTAACTGCTATTGAATGAGATAATTAGAAAGAAAAAGGAATAACTAGAAATAAGTGTTTTAGGTTGTTGATAAGACAAATTAAAACCAAGCACAAATTACATACTGTAAAATTTATATGAAGTACCTCTTTTCAACTCCCAGATGGGTTACTCAAAGATTGAATATAAATCAAATTATTATGGATTATCTTACTTAATGTACTGAAAGAATTTGTTATTTTTCTTTTGCAAAAGCCAACATTTTCAAAGCATTACTAATCCAGAATTCATTAGTCCTGAGTCTTATATGGGAACAGTATCATATAGAATAGAAAAGCTTGCTAATTACTGTCTTTAAACTATTTGGAAAGAAATATATAACATGAGACTAGTTGTTTTAGAACACTGGTATTTTGGATTTTTTTCAAAAACTTACAATATATAAATTTTAATGTAGGGTGATTGCAAAAACAGTGAATTTTAGATAATCTTAGATTATTTGTTTCTCCTTTTTCAAAAAGCTTATATTTGAGTAAAAGTAACACATCCTCAGACTGAGGTTGATTCTCTTATTATACCATTTTATAACATACAGCGCATGCATCTTACCCTCTTATCAAAAGGATTTATTGCTAGTGTGACTTTATTTCTAAGGTAATTTATTGCATAACCTTGAAGTAAAAATTTCTAGTTTTCTGGTTTATCTTCTGATCTCTCAGTTGGAGTCATTTTGGGGGTTTGTAATAAGTTCCCTGTCATTTTTTCAAGAACGCTGTACCCCTTTTTATTCTTTACAGTAAGTTTGCGAAATTGGTATTACTATTCCCATTTTACTAAAGAAGGAACAGGTTCTAAGACATTTAATCAGTATTGTATATAGTCAGCAGACCATTTCCTTGGGTGCTGCTTTTGTAAGTTCAACCAATTGCAGAGCAAAAATATTCAATAAAGAATATTCTGTGCATCTGTACAGAACGTGTAGACTTTTTTCATGTCATAATTCCCTAAACAGTACATTATAACAACTATTTGCCTAATTTAATTGTATTAGATATTAAAAGTAATTTAGAAATGATTTAAATCATACAAGAGGATGTGCATAGGTTATATGCAAATATGTCATTTTATATAAGTTACTTGAGCATCTGCAGATTTTGGTTTCCACAAAAAGTCCTATTCCCCACACATACCCAGGGATAAAATTTACTCTCTTCTGGCAATTAACCAAGGAAAAGTAAGTGGGAATGATTTCTTGGTAGGTGTATTACTGATTTCAAATTGTGGTAAGAAGGAGGATGGTATTGGATATTAGTAATTGAATAATATTTAACAATTAGAGTGCACTTATTTTGTACTAGGAACTGTGCTAAGCACTTTTAAACATTATCTTAATTGTATCATAAGAGTGTGATTTAAAAGGTTCTTCCTTATCTCTTCTGCATATTTTATCTGCTTCCTATTTCATTACTTCATTCTTGCATTGCATACTTCGTGTAAACTAAACCTTTTCAACTTCTTTGAACAGTTTTATTCTCTAATTCTGAATAGTAGAATGAAATGTTCCTGACTTTATGAAAGGCACTTTAAAAAAATTCCAACTCTTGCTTCTCTGCTTTATTGTGTTAATGTCTCCTCACATCAGGTACTTTATTCACTCAAATTTCTGGGACAATTCCTTTGTCTGTGGTCTGGCACCAATATATCCCCTATTTTATTAGCACTTTTTACAATGCAGTATAATTATTTACTAATAAATATGTATGGACTGTAATTTTTGTTAGAACTGTTTTGGCTTTATGTATTTTTATCTCCAAGGGTCTGGCATGTGGCTTGTATGTTTTTTATTAATTTGAATATATTTAGTATGTAGGAAATGGGTCTAGATCTTATGTTTAGTATTTTCCAGGTGCATTCTTGAGTTGGAATATGATGCTTATCTGAGTAAAATAAATACTTACAAATATGGTACGGTGTTTATTAGCATCTTGAAAGTTTGATAAAAATCTATGTATATACATATATGTAAATAACAATATAATTTATACAAATACATACTTCATGAATGAAGGTGGAATCCTTGAACAATTCTCAGTGGTGTATATGTTAGAAGTGTATCTCATAAGAAAGAAAATTCATAAGTAGGCACTGATTGAATAGTTTATCCCGATTGCTCAGAATTTGGCAAGCATTGTCTGATTTCATACTTTAAAAAATACAGTGAAAATAGTTACAGTATTTTATTAACACTTTCCCTTCTTATAGACATGGATGAGGTTTTGAATCACTGTGTTTAAGTGGTTGAACTTGAGCTTAAACTCAAATACTCAACTCCTGAATCTTTGCTTCTAACCACTTTACTGTATTGCCTTCTGTTTTGTATTTGATTAGGAGAGGGTCCACTGCTATTCCACTAAAATTTTGAATGATCCCTTCAAACACCACAGGTTTTGAAGAGAAATTTCCTGTTTCATCAAACTCTGTCCTTTTTTTTTATATTGCTAGTATAGTAATCTTTTCTTTATTAGAGAGTTAAGAGAATATGTACTACAAACAGGTACCAATAAAAATTTTAAAAAGAAAGCAAGAGAATAATACAGTGAATGATCATATACCTATTATACCACTTTGTTAGTTCTTAATTCTTTGCTATATTTGCCCCAGTTGTACTTAAAATTGAACATTGACAATCCTTTGGCTGTCCTGTTTCTTTACGTGTTGCTCAGAAATAATAATTATCCTAAATTTAGTGTTATTCATGATTTTTTTCATGTTTCTATACATTTATAAACAAAATATAATGCTCTTAGCTCCATATAAGAGTGCTCTGGGAGCGGGGATTTAGCTCAGTGTTACCTTCGCCTGCTTCGCAAGTGCAAGGTCCTGAGTAGGATTCCCTGGGAACGCCCCCTCAAAAAAAAAACAAAAAGCCCACATGAATTAAATGAAGGAAAGATTTATTAAAAAGAAAAAAAAAGAGTGTTCTGCATTTGGAATGCTCAGGAACTTTTTTCTTTGTTTTTGGTTCCAGGGATCAAACTTGGGACCTTGTGCTTGGGAGGCAGGCAGTGAAACTACTGAGCTGAATCCCCTACAGGAACTTTTTTTGATCAGTACTGCTTTTGTGATTTATCCATGATGGTACATGTTATGGCTTGTATTTTCGTCCTCGCAAAGCCTCACACAGTCATAAGTGGGCTTTTCAGAGGTGTCTGGCTCTAAGAGTGTGTGATGCTGGGATCAAGGATGTGATGCTAGATTTCAAAAATTCTCATTTCCCTCTTTGTTTCTATTTTGCTTTTCTCCACTGTAGTCTATTTTTCATATTGCTGGTGTAGTAATCGTACCTTCACTAAAAAGTACTAGATGCTGGAATTTATTTGTGGTGCAATGCTAGGATTAAGGGTGTGAGTACTACCTCCTCCCCCAAGGGTGAATAGTCTGGATATAATATAAGAGACAGGAAGAGGGCTGCTGTTGTTGTTGCTGCTTGTTGCTTAGTGCTGCTTTGCTGCACTCTGCCATGCCACCTTGCCTTGGAGCCAGCTGATTATGGATTAAAACCTCTAAAAACTATGAGCTGAAATAAACTTATCCTCCTTAACTTTGGGTGTTGGGTATTTTTGTCTCAGCAATGAGAAAAGTAAGACAATACCTGCCGTTCTAAATAATTAATTATTGAATGGGTTTGCAATATATTATTATGCCATTATATACTTCATTTTTTTCTGATAGGTTATTTCTAGTTTTGCAAACCCTACTGCAGTAAGCAT